CAATCATAGTCTTATTTTCAGCTAAAAGCATAAGTGCCCAATTAACATCATGAGCAAAGGCTAGATAATTCAGAAAGATTTCATAATGCCAAAAAATCTATAAGATATCCTGGAGGAAAATCACTAGAAGTATTAGAATTATCAGAAACCAGTGCCTTAAAATTCAAATAAAATTTTTTTGTGCCATTAGATGTATAAAAATTGTGTGCATAACAATCATGGCAGCATGATATTTAAGTACAGCTGAATGTCTACAAAACATGATCAAAATTTATAGGAAAACATCCTGTTAATGAAGGCTAGTTATGAAACAATTGGAAATGACCATTAACATATCTGGCAATATCTCACAAGTTATGAAGAAACAGTAGATATGAATGACATGAACCTGGTCCTTAGAAACTAAGCTTGATCTTGTAAAAATTAGCAATGTTGGACCAATTACACTATCCTTTTTCCTTAACTATATACTTAGCAAGTAAGCATTAGAAATCTGAGTCAATGTCCACTGAAACAAAATCCTTTTATGTAACTCCAATGACTGTTGCATGTATTGTTTAGTCTTACCTAAAAGATAAAGCAACTCCAGTTAGCATAAAGACTAAAACCCTCTTACCTAAAATCGCTGTAACCTGAAGCACTAATGAGAACCTGATGGTCTATGTTTCAAAATGTAGCTACATGATGAAAACATGATGGCTTGTGGGAAGTGTATCTTGTAAGGAGCCAAAGCATTATTCATACAGGAAAAGCTTTGAAATAGTTGAACAGAATAGTGACTTGGCAACCAGTATTAAAAAGTACAGAAATATCTTGTGAGAAAAAGGAGGAGAAAGAATGTAGCATTGATGGTGTTGCCAGCAATATGAGATCTTCTCTAAAATTCACGCAGATTTTCTGAGTACCAAATATTGTATCTGGAGTCCCCCTAAAGCTTTAAAACATTGTTATTTTGTTTCATATATACATAAGTACTTCACAGTCTAAACACTCAAGGAAAGACCAYATCTCCCTCAGTTCTCCTAAAATTGCCAGAAGAATTAGTCATTTTTGATCTGCTGACAAATGTTCMGCCCTGCAGTCTAAGCCTATGGCAGGCATTCAGCTCCACCTAGTCTATGTAAATTTAATCTTTCTCCATTCATATTCTGCACATATTTAAGTTGCTAGACATTTCTGGAAACTTTCTAATTACCATTCAGGACATTCTTAGTACTAAATCTAGGGAATTACAACCCACACAGTTATTTGTATGTTCTACATACAGGTTGCAACTGATACAACTACATGATGTAGTTCTTATTGAGGCTCTTATATTAATTTTGGCATTTTGGCAGTCCCGTAAGAATTTTGTCTTATCATCTGTCAGGTTCACAATTTTTATACTCAGTTTATGTTGCATTGTGCTCTTGGAAAAGTCAAATTGTCTAGGAAAATATTTGTTTTCTGTTGCTTTAATGCAGCTTTATATTCAGCAAGTAKGTCTGATATTGCTCTGCTGAGCAGAAAGGCATCTTTTTCAGTAAGGGTGGTGAAAATATTTAAGGGAACATTGCTTTAGACAGCATCTAAAAACATAACCTGTTCAAGGTGGTTGCCAGTAGATTACCTTTCTTACCACATACATCCATTGCACAACGTTTGCTTAAATTTATTAAAGCTTATTTGGCTTATGTCAAAGTCAAGAAATTCAACCTCTGCCTTCTCAGTTCAGCCAACTGGTGTTAATGCATAATAATATATTCTTTAGGTRCACAAATCACATTTTTTCACAGTAACGTGATCTTACTCTTTAAAGAGAATGAATACCTCTGTGAGGAAGRGTTATTCAAGATTTTGATTTTGTGGCCTTTTTAAAGGGTTCGGTATAAAGCTTCAGGCTTCATTTATAGCATTCTGTTCAAACCTAACTTGGAAGGTAAGAATTAACCCTTTCCTATATATATTTTTGTTACTCACCTCTAAAATACCAAGTATTCTACAAACATAAGAGTATAATTTTGCAATGTGCCATTAAAATATGAGAATTTTATAAATTAGCAATAATTTGCAGTGCTTGTGGTACTTAAAGCTAGGTTCATGTTTTTAAATTGTTTATTATGTAACATATGAAAGTTCAACATCCTTTCAGATCCAACTTCAGGGTCTAAACAATGAACCTCAAAATATAATGCAAACATACAAAAGCCAAAAATTTGTTTACTTGAATTTTCTAATCTGTTTTAGCAAAAAAATTTCCATGCTTATAAGGAAAATGTATCTGAACTAAAGTTTTAAGATAACCCTCCCTTAAAAGCAAATTAAAAGTCCTCTCTGCAAACAGGTATGTGGTTTCCAAGCAGTTTCCAATCTCAATGATTTATTCACWCAGCTGGCATGCTAACCATGAGCTGGCAGCTTGGGGCTTGGTTTCTAAATTCATGATTTATTTTTTATTTGTTTGTTTGTTTGTTTGGTTTTTGTTTGGTTTTTTTTTTGTTTTTGTCTTGATGTTTTTTGTTTGCTTGTTTTTGGGGTTTGTTGTTTGTTGTTTTGTTTTGTTTTGTTTTGGTTTTGTTTCTTGGTTTTTGGTTTTTGGTTTTTTTTTCAAAGACAGATTACCAGGAAATTCTGCTGGCCTCCTGCTAGCCCCCAGTTTTCACAGGAAATAGCTTCTGTTCTGAAGTTTGTCTCTCTCCAGCAGCCAGTTGAGAAAAGCTGGAACCGTGGTACATGAGTTTATGGAAGCCTGAAATTTGGTTGATTCAGAGCCCAAGTGCCTACTCTTCCTAGACTCATTTGTTTCCAAAGCTAAAACTATTCAGAGAAATGTATACCATCTGTCACCTTTCAACACAACACCTTTCTAAAGGGAAAAAACCCTTTTAACTTTGTCCTTTTCATTTGGTTGATGTGGGTAAATAATTACAATATTAACAATATTAATGGTGAGAGGCAGCAGAAGTTTAACTGGATGGCAGAGAAAGAAGTTTGGGATGGACAGTCTCCAGCTAAGCAGGAAGTTAATCAGGAAATATAAATAGAATTCTTTAGAGTACTACATTTTAATAGGTATCTGGAGTTATATGTTACAGTTTCATCAATCCTACAATGTTCTGGGCAGGGGAAAAAACCTGCCAATAGCACCTTTTCATTTACTTTCTGCTTCTTGATTCATCAGATAAACAAAGAGCTCTAAGTTCCATACAGTCCCTTGGTCTTGTATCAGTTGCCACTACGTCAAGGATAAATTCTGAAAGCAGTGCTTTTTTTTCCTGTGTCATCTTCTGCTTAAAGGAGCTCTGATGTTTGTGCTGAAATGATCTGGAATTCTGCCAAAGGCTTCAGGATAAGCATATTTCAGTCTGGCAGTGAATCCATAGTCAAAGACCAAACAACTACAGACACTATGACAAGAAAGTTATTTATAAATCCAGATACAAAATCTATGAAAACCAGTGCAGCAGTCTTTTAGTTGAGGCCATTTGTTCCAGCTGCCATTAGTACAAATATCAAATGTGGTACTTTGTGCATGTATCAAAATTTAAACACAGCAGTGTAGGTGGCATCTGGAGAAAGATAACTTCTATGTTTTTCTCTGTCAGTATTTGCAGACTGAACATTTCTAACTGGTCATTTAAAGCCTAAGATTGGTAAGACACTGCATTTTAAGATATTTGAAATAATATATTTAAAAAGTAACTTTGAGAATTCTAGCAACTAAAATGCCCTCTTAGTCAATAAATACTTTACCTTTCTTACTACTATCTTTCCAGTTATTGTCTGTTTGTGTATTGTATGTTCAAAATAAATGCATAAAGCAATTCACTAAGCCCAACTTGAATTAATAATGAAACTGTACAACATCTAAAGCTAATAATATGTTTTATTACAGGTTGCAATAGAAGCTTGCATTTCATCTTCCATTAATAATCTTAGAATTCCAGAGTAGAATCTCGAACACACAAAGGCCTGTGTATATATGCATTTATATACCTACAAGCATGCATGAATAGATAATATTTAATAGCTTTCTGTACTTGTGGACATGAATAACTAGAGCTTTACATGTAATAGTTATTTTAAAGAAATTAATAAAAGTKACATCAATGTTTCTTGTGAGCTTCTTGTTAGAAATTAGAATGGTTGGAGGCATTCAGACAGGTTATCATTTAAGCAACTAAAAAAAGAAAATATAATCTATTCCTGAAAGATGAATTCAAAACATGATGGATTCCATTGTCTTTGAAGAATATCATGTCTCTTTGTTTAAAAAAATGAGTCAGCAGAATGTTTCATTGCCTAATTTTCCAGTTTGAAAGCAGAGAAAAATGGGGCATCAGTWCCATCTGGGAACTGTCTAGGACACTGCCCAGCATCTTTTCTTCTTGCTGAAGAGCGTGTGCCTCAGTTTAGGAAAGACAACTAAGTCCATGTTCAAYTAGACTCTTAGAAGTTTATTTAAGTGTTTGCCAGCAGATTCAAGAAGAGTAACATCAAAGTGATATTAAAGTCATGGAAGCTTGAAATATAAATGAGAGAAAAGATATTTTAGTTTCAGAACTGGAAACGTTAAGCACTAATGTAATGAAAGAAAAGGAACTTAAATTAAATAAAGAAGGTAAGTGTGAGTTTGGAAATTTATTAGTAACATTGTTTCAAGAGAGGCTATTTAAAACCAAAGCAAGACCTAAARATATGAATATTTTAATTTGATATGAATTCTAAGTCTTTGTGATTGAAAGAATCCAAGCAAATAACATGGTAAAAATACTAAGTCATGGTAATTAACCTTAAAGGCAGTTTTCTTTCAAAAGGTGCACCTTTAAGTTAAGCTACCTTTTTAGACTAAAAATGAGTGTCTTATTTCTGATATATAACAATGAATTTTGATCTAGAAAGTAGAAACTAATTACATTTAAAGTGTTCCACTGAGCCTACTCATTAATATATTGAGAACAGAAATGACAGAAAAGAGCAAAATAAAAACTAATACCTGCCTTTTTATATTTATTTTACAGGAAATGTGTTTGTTGTAAGCCTGGCAGTTGCAGACTTGATAGTAGCTATCTACCCTTATCCACTGGTCCTCACATCTGTGTTTTACAACGGATGGAAACTGGGATACCTACACTGCCAGATTAGTGGCTTCTTGATGGGCCTAAGTGTCATTGGATCAATCTTCAATATTACAGGCATCGCTATCAATCGGTACTGCTATATCTGCCACAGTCTCAAATACGACAAGCTGTACAGCGACAAGAATTCATTGTGCTATATTGTTCTTATATGGGTCCTAACGTTTGTTGCTATCGTGCCCAATCTGTTTGTGGGATCGCTGCAGTACGACCCCAGGATTTACTCATGTACGTTTGCRCAGTCTGTGAGCTCAGCGTATACGATAGCGGTCGTGTTTTTCCACTTCCTGCTCCCCATAGCTGTGGTTACTTTCTGTTACTTGCGAATATGGATCCTCGTTATCCAGGTAAGGCGAAGGGTTAAGCCAGACAACAACCCTAGGCTGAAACCACATGACTTCAGAAACTTTGTAACCATGTTTGTGGTGTTTGTACTGTTTGCAGTCTGCTGGGCTCCTCTGAACTTTATAGGCCTTGCTGTGGCTGTCAACCCCAAAACCGTAATCCCTAGGATTCCAGAGTGGTTGTTTGTATCTAGTTATTACATGGCRTATTTCAACAGCTGCCTTAATGCCATAGTATATGGACTCCTGAACCAGAACTTCAGAAGAGAATACAAGAGAATAATTGTTACTTTTTGTACGGCAAAAGTTTTTTTCCAGGATAGTTCTAATGATGCAGGAGACAGAATGAGAAGTAAACCTTCTCCACTGATTACAAACAACAATCAGGTGAAGGTGGACTCTGTCTGAAGATGGGAATCTTACTGTTACCACTCAACAGCATCCAAATAAAGTATTTATTTTATTAGACCCCTGTTAAATATTATAGTGAAATGTATTTCTACACTAAAAGCACTTTGATCAATTTCCTTGCTTGGTATTTGGGAACTTGTTACAGAGCCTTGACACACAGATCCTATCATATAATGGTATATCTCTTGTATATTGACATAATGATATCCTCGAGGAAAAAAAAAGTTGTGAATGGATACTTTTTTCTTAGATGGAGATAAACACCTAGAAATAGATTGAATCAGAAGTATCCATATTGCCCGGTCCAGTAAAAAAAAAATCATAAAACTATTACTGCCCTTTCCACATGCTTTTTCTGGCCAAGTTATGGTCCTGATTCTAAAACCTCYGAAAATTGCTTTTAAAAGATGAAATCAGACCTTTATGTAATATATTAGGAGATGTGAAGTGAAAAATCAAGGTAATTGAAAATTCATTAGGATTTTTGATAAGTACCTTTATCTATATTTCTCTGCTACTAACATGGACACGAATATAATTTTTTGGATATTAAACCTCACCAGCCCTCCTAGGRATGACATTCTCAATTGACTTCTCAATTTTAAAATAGCTTTTAGGAGGAGAAACATGCCTGAATGATTATCTTCAAAGCTCCAAGGGCAGGAGGATAAACAGCAAGGAAAGAAAAGAGCCATGATTCATCAGCTCAAGCCGTTTCAGCATGAAAAAGAGGTGTAGGAGGGTTGGGAAGAGAAATTTAAATGACCATTATTTCTGTAGAGGCGGTAACTCATGAAATCAGGAAATGCCCCAGAGGAGTTTCTGGGGAAACACCTTCYAGAAACATAAGTGAGGAAGAACTGTTATATCTCACTTGTATACAAGACAGATGTTCTAAATCTCTGTGAGAAGAAGATTAATGCATTTAATAGGAGTGATAGCTGAGTATGACAATTTTGTCTGGTTAGTGGTGTCTTAAGCCCATGAAATCCTGGGAAATGAGACATATATACAGGGTGAATACTGAACATCTTTCTGAAACTGATCTTCTGAGAATAACCTGAGACTATTTTTTAATCTGCCACAGATAAGATTTTCAAATTAATAATTAGGTGTTTACCACAATTATGAACATAGWGTAAAAGCCTAGAACAATCAGACACCTTTAAATAACAGAAAAGAGAAGATACTACTTAAAACAATGGTACAAAGAGGAACACGTGATTCTCAGGACAGCAGCTGCTGTGTGGACTTTCCACAGGCAGCAGGGACCTCTTCAGGCAGGGGAATTACACTGTGAGGTGAGGAAGAATGACTAGACAGGGTGTCTCCTGCAACAATGAATCTGTCTTTATAATGAAGTCCTCCAGCGGAGAAAAGCAATTCACAACAATAGGATTCACCTTCAAATTGACCTTAAAGACCATTTAGTTCTGAAAAGAAGCTTCAATTGTCATACATTTAATGCTACATTGTTTGTACTTACAGTGATGTCAAGTACACTTGAGCTTTTCCAAGCCAATTCCAACAATGTCAATGGGACTAAGAGTTTCTGAATAGACATCAGACCTTTGTTAATCTATGTTAAAATGTGAGTTTTACTTAAACAGCTATTTTAAAGTATTATTTACTATACTGGAGATTTTCTTGAGRTTATATGTCTTAGAAAACAACAGTCATTCTGTCGTAGAACTCCTTAAATGGCATAAAAATCTAACAGCATTTCATCTTTCTTGGATCATAAATTAGTGTACACTTGGCTTAATAATGAACTAAAAGGGAATGGATTCATATTTGAATATGAAATGTCAGTGGGAATCCCTGCTGATACTTCATCATCTGACCAGTTTCTTACCTTAAAAACAGGTGCCTCATGTCAAGTTAACAACAGAAAAAAATGAATAACATTGTATAACCTTGGATATGAACTAGTAAGTCAATGCATTGTTAGGTGCTTGACTCATCTTTGTTTACATTTTCCAGTCAGAACCACTGTGTAAATAACCAGCTATCTTCTCTTGTGGTATCATCATATGATGAGATATGATACAACATGATTTACAGCATAAAGTATATCACAGCTTTCTTCACTGTGATTTCATCCTTGAAGGATGCTTAGCTCTGTAATTTTATTGCTTTGTGTGTAGTGATTTTAGAATAGCAACGGAGGCATGACCACCTTATAAGTAAATGAGTTTTTCATGCAAGAAAAATACTATTTAAATTCTTACAAAAATTGCCTTATTTAAAGTATATTTTCAATGAAAATAATGTCTTATTATATATCTAATAAAGTAGCATAAAGACAGTTAAAGTAGCTTAATCATTAGTAAGTTTAGAATTTTCAAATATCTTTCACTTTCCATTTCCAACAGAAAATGTGCACCTCTATCATGTCTACACATTTATGAGCYGGTTCTAGACACTGTATCCAATATGTGGGTTATCTGAGGAATTAAAATCCCCTGTAATTTGCAAGTGCTAAAATATATTTTTGATGACAATGAAAATGGTTTGCTATATACAACAGAAGATATTGTACCAAAGGTATATATTTTACTGAATAGGCCTGTAATAAAAATGGAGAGCATTTTTCAGAGCTGTATTTTGAAATATTTGTATTAAATCTATATCAGAGAAATGTGCATGTTGGTGATGTTATGAGCTGCTAAATATAGCAATAATTTTAAGAAATTTATCTCTTGTTCTTCTTTGGGGGGAGAGTTGAGAATTTTGTTTAAATTACTGTGGATGAAAAATCTGGGCAATATCTGCYGCCCTCTTGAGATTACTTTTGCATTTACTGCCACTCTGAAGTATGTTTTAGGTAAGGACTGTAAAACCACTCATTGCAAAAGTGGGAGAATAATGATGCTTAACTCTGCAGTAATGGWTACTTTTAATTCAAGCCTATTGCTTCAAAGGAGCCAAAGTGATTCATGTGAGACAATCAGCAGCCTTGTCAGCTGCTCACTGACAATGAGYATGACAATGTAAGTCAGCACTTCACAAGATCTGACTCTTTATAGTCAACATAAAGATGACTAGTGAAAATAATGATTTCTGTCCATTTGAAGGAGATGGAGTTTGCAACATCTTAAATTAGTTCCTTCTGTGAAAGTGGATGAGCCATGGCATGTTTTTTTGTATTCCAAGTCATTAAATTTTCCCCAATATGAAAGGTTAACATAGCACAGCTGCATTACCAAGAGTTCTGTCTGGGTGATTTAGATAGTGTACTTGTCCTATAGCATCAGCCAGTCATCAGCCCTGGATAGATTTATTCCTAAAAAGTAAGTCTTAGGAGTCTGCAGCATCTGCAGAGGCCCATCCCTTTCCCACTTYCTACCCATTTGTGGTTTGAGCCCCAGTGAAGCCAAAGGACTTCTGTGAAGGAGAAGTGAAACATGCCTGCCCCCTCCCTGTATGCAACACACTGCAGACTTATAGCCTTATYGACCTCTACCTTATCCTACAAGGATTTCTTTCCTATACCACAGTCTTGATTATGTCATCAGTCCATATATGATCTTCTCAACACACCTTGAACCCTTACAGATAGATAGGTTATTGGTGGTCATCTACATTAAAAACTTCACATTTACAAAGAAGCTTGGCATTATTACATATTTACCAGCAAAGAGAATCTTAATGAATATATTAATATCAAACAGGGTAGTAATTGTATTTAAACTGTAACTGTATGCAACAATGTAGTTTCATTTGCAATAGCTTTGCACATTTTCTTCTACACTGGGCTAGTGCAAGTGCATAGATATGAAGCAAACATATGTTATTTCAATAGACATAATATGTAGCAATGATTTTACTTCTTTTTCTTTTCCTTCTAATTTGTTTTAGAAGGCAGGTATATGAATCATCCATAATAAACTATCGTGAACAATCTGAATCTGTGTATAGTGCATCCTTGTATAATCATCACATCTTTTTCTTTGGAACACTTTTGAAATGGTATCATGTTAGACCTGATTAACTATGATATATCAAGGGAACTKTTATTTCCCTTAAATGACACTGGAAAAAATAATTTTAAAAGCTTCTTAAAATGTAATACAAGTACAAAAATATACCTGGTCATCCAATTTAAAATATAATTTCAAAAATTCCTTCTATTTGAATAACTTGTTCACAAACTGTAGTAATATAGATGGACTGTTAATCTTTAATTATTTTCTAATAACTGTTTTCTAATTATCATTAATATGGTTTATGAATAATCAAGAATTACAAATGTYTGTCATGTTGTCATTGAGGCTTGCAAAATCACACATACTAAAGCCAACTTTCTTAGCAGAAAAAATATTCAAGTAGTGGCCTGGCTTATAGCCCATGTACTGTATCTCAAATTTTTGCCTGTAATAAGAATTTCATATGTGGTTTTATGAATTTACTTATTAAAAAATATTATTCCTACCTCAAATATGTGTCCGAGAGATTGCAATGTGAATAAGGTAGAAAAGATTCACAGTATAAGTCAATAGCCTTTAAAATTTTTAATAGAAACAAAAGTAAATTCAGCAAAGATGYACATATATTAATAATGATCACAGAAATTATTTTCCCAGTTGAGTATTTTCCCATCACTCAAACCATCCCAWCTATCAAACACTAACCAAAGTATGCACATTTTGAGAACTATGTTATTTATAGATGGCTATACCCAAACAGCCTTTGAGACATGAGAGTTTCATCTTACAAAAACCTGTACAGCTTCAATGATTCACGTCAGCTGAAGATTTTGGCAAATTGGAGTTCATAAATCTAAAAATTAGCTATTTTACATTATTACACAAGCAATATATATTTTATTTCTATGAAATTCCTCAACTGTCAGCTGTCCAGGTTGSAAGAAGGTGAATTTGCCTGCTAATGAGCTGCAAAATTAACCTCATGCAGTGGAACTCTCTCTGTGATTTGTCATTTCTAAGTAAATATATGTCATTTCATARGTAAATATAAAATGTCAGTAGTCTTTT